TAAAATGTTTACTTTGTTTTGTGAGGTACCAGCTTCTAATCCGAAAAAGACAAACTTGTCCAGAAATTTTACCTCCTCAAATGTTGGAATTAGTGCCTAAAATACCAACCTGGAGATGTTAAATGTTATAATTCAATTCAGTTTATTTATATAGTGCCAAGTCACAACATACATTGTGTCAGGGCACTGTTATATACTGTTATACTGCTGTGCAGTATTTTTATAATGTAGTAATTACTGTAGAATGGCACTAAATTAAATGTATTGCCAGAGAAAATCCCAGCATTCAGTGACCTTATTAACAACATTATGAGCAGTGGGACTGGGTGATAAACATATGGCAGGCTGACCTGATTTATTAAATTCTGAGTATAAAACGTCCTTCTTGGCCACACATCAAATTTGGCTTAAATATTCACTCAGAATATGTATTTTTAACAGTGGTAAATGTATTTGTTATTGTGATCTGTAGCTTTCTGGATTGTGTATATTATTGTTAATTAATAAACTGGACACCATTATATGGTCAAGTTTTTATAGTCAATACCTATGTTTGTAATATTAAGAGGTCAAAATTATCTGTAGTCAGGAAATATGATATCAGGCCAGATTACTGTAAACCACATCAACATATTTAACGCAAGATTTACTAAAGGTTCATTTAAAGACACAAACAGCCAAAAACTGAAGCAGATTTTGAAGAGAGTTTTTCTAATGGAACTGAAACAACAACACATAATAATAATAATTATAATTATAATAATTATAATAAGTCTAAAAGTTGTACCCATGTTTTGCATGAGCTGAACATTTTGGCTTAAAAACAGCTAAAATAAAATCTGAAGAAGTTCGAAACCAAAACTGAAACCCATGGTGAGAATGACSACTCTTCCCCTAAAGCACTAAAGCACTAATAGGGGAACTAATTTCCTTATTAGTGCTTTAGGGCTTTTGCTATTTTTTAAATTCATTTTGTTCATGTGTGTGTCACTCCTACAAGGTCACATGTGTCAAACTCAAGGCCTGTGGACCAGATGTAGCCTGTAGGTGACTCCCATTTGGCCCACCAAGGGCACTAGGTGGCAACATTGTGTACATAGTAAATATTGTCTCATGTTGACCGTTCCATGTGTCAACTGGGATGTTTTATTGCTTTAGAATTAGGGGACGTAAATATTTGAGTTAGTGCTTTAGGGTTAGTGCAACTAATATTTAGRTTAGTGCTGCACACCACTGCTCAGCACCAACCAGACTGGATCAAACCCAACAGAACAATAAAAATATTAATTTTATGCGTTTTTGTTGTGGATCATCTCAGGTTCCCTCTGGCTCGTCCAGTTGTTTGTGGGAAGTGGGTCGCCGCCATGAGGAGGAACAACTTCATGCCGACGAAGTACAGCAACATCTGCTCGCAGCATTTCACCGCCGACTGCTTCAAGAGGGAGTGCAACAACCGCGTGCTGAAGGAGAACGCCGTGCCGTCGCTCTTCACCTTCAACCTCAGCATAAAGGTCAGAGGTCACACTCTTCTCTGGTCAGAGTCAGTGGTGAGCACAGATCCGCTAATAGCAGAACAAGCTCATTTAGCGGATTAGCTTTGTTTTTAGCTAACTTTGGAAACTGTAGTTTCTGCTAAATTATGTTCTGCTAGTTTAAAATCCACTAAAAGAAAAATCGCAAGTGTTAAATTTCTATTTTTAGTCTGTTTATCTCAAATTTAATAAAAAAATTATCTTCTTTTACAATTAGTGCTGGACGTGTCAGACACCGTTTGTTAGCATTTAGCATCTTTAGCTGTTAAACTTCAAACAGAGCGTCAAAAATAAATAAAATTAACAATTTTTAAACAATGAATACAAAAACTGTGTAAAATATTGCAGAGAAAGTATTTTTTTGTTTGACTAACTTCAAACTTTATGAAAGTACAAACTTAATCAGAGAAATGCTTTTATTCTGAAAGGATGAAACTGGAATTATCACAAGTTGGCTGTTCCCACAACCTGTCAGGCAGTAACCACAGTATAAAGGTCAGAGGTCAAACCTTGAAGGTCAGGGAAGGACCTTAACCCTCAATATAAAGGTCAGAGGTCAAACCTTGAAGGTCAGGGAAGGACCTTAACCCTCAATATAAAGGTCAGAGGTCACCTTGAAGGTCACGGAAGGACCTTCACCCTCAATATAAAGGTCAGAGGTCACCTTGAAGGTCACGGAAGGACCTTGACCCAAGGTCAGAGGTCACCTTGAAGGTCACGGAAGGACCTTCACCCTCAATATAAAGGTCAGAGGTCACCTTGAAGGTCACGGAAGGACCTTAACCCTCAATATAAAGGTCAGAGGTCACCTTGAAGGTCAGGGAAGGACCTTAACCCTCAATATAAAGGTCAGAGGTCACCTTGAAGGTCAGGGAAGGACCTTAACCCTCAGTATGACGGTCAGAGGTCAAACCTTGAAGGTCAGGGAAGGACCATAACCCTCAGTATGAAGGTCAGAGGTCAAACCTTGAAGGTCAGGGAAGGACCGTAACCCTCAGTATGAAGGTCAGAGGTCAAACCTTGAAGGTCAGGGAAAGACCGTAACCCTCAGTATGGTCAGAGGTCAAACCTTGAAGGTCAGAGAAGGACCGTAACCCTTTGTATGAAGGTCAGAGGCCAAACCTTGAAGGTCAGGGAAGGACCGTAACCCTTTGTATGAAGGTCAGAGGCCAAACCTTGAAGGTCATGGAAGGACCGTAACACTTAGTATGAAGGTCAGAGGTCAAACCTTGAAGGTCAGAGAAGGACCGTAACACTTTGTATGAAGGTCAGAGGTCAAACCTTGAAGGTCAGAGAAGGACCGTAACCCTCAGTATGAAGGTCAGAGGTCACATCCTAAGGGTCAGGGACAGAATTTGTTGAAACCTGTTTTGACTGGAACATTTTCTGTCCTGCAGTCAGACTCTTTGGAGGATCCGTTCTCAGGGATCCACTTCCCTCTCTCTCTGACCTCTGACCCTGTAGCGACAGCAGAGGAGGGGGAGCCTGAGAGGATCGATGCAGACGGCCGCAGTGACACGGCGGTGGTCTCCTGCGATCACAACTACACGGTGGAGGACTCTGCTCAGCAGAAGAAACGCATCGAGCAGCTGGAGGAGCACCTGGACCTCCTGAGGAAGAAGCTGAAGACCATGCAGCAGAAGTGTCGGCGCCAGGAGCGACAGCTGAAGAGGCTGAAGACCACCTGCCAGGTGCCCAGACCGGGCCGCGAGGCGGGGCCCACGTTCGCTGGAGAGTACGTGATCTTACCCAAACAGATGTACATCTCCCTGAGAGGCATCGAGTGATGACGAGACAACAGAGGTGGAGCTAGACTGAAGGATCCTAAAGGATCCTGACTCTAACCTGAAGAATCCTGAAAGGTCCTGAAGGACCCTGACCCAATCCTGAAGGATCCTGAAGGATCCTGACTCCAACCTGAAGGATCCTGAAAGATCCTGACCCCAACCTGAAGGATCCTGAAGGATCCTCACCCCAACCTGAAGGATCCTGAAAGATTCTGACCCCAACCTGAAGGATCCTGAAATATCCTGACCCTAACCTGAAGAATCCTGAAAGGTCCTGAAGGACCCTGACCCAATCCTGAAGGATCCTGACTCCAACCTGAAGGATCCTGAAGGATCCTCACCCCAACCTGAAGGATCCTGAAAGATCCTGACCCCAATCTGAAGAATCCTGAAAGGTCCTGAAGGACCCTGACTCCAACCTGAAGGATCCTGACCCCAACCTGAAGGATCCTGACCCCAACCTGAAGGATCCTGAAAGATCCTGACCCCAACCTGAAGGATCCTGAAAGGTCCTGAAGGACCCTGACCCAATCCGGAAGGATCCTGACTCCAACCTGAAGGATCCTGAAAGATCCCGACCCCAACCTGAAGGATCTTGAAAGATCCTGACCCCAACCTGAAGGATCCTGAAAGATCCTGACCCCAACCTGAAGGATCCTGAAAGATCCTGACCCCAACCTGAAGGATCCTGAAGGATCCTGACCCCAACCTGAAGGATCCTGAAATATCCTGACCCCAACCTGAAGAATCCTGAAAGGTCCTGAAGTACCCTGACCCAATCCTGAAGGATCGTGAAGGATCCTGACTCCAACCTGAAGGATCCTAAAAGCTCCTGACCCCAACCTGAAGGATCCTGAAGGATCCTGACCCCAATCTGAAGGATCCTGAAAGATCCTGAAGGACCCTGACCCAATCCTGAAGGATCCTGAAAGATCCCGACCCCAACCTGAAGGATCTTGAAGGACCCTGACCCAATCCTGAAGGATCCTGAAGGATCCTGACTCCAACCTGAAGAATCCTGAAGGATCTTGAAGGACCCTGACCCAATCCTGAAGGATCCTGAAGGATCCTCACCCCAACCTGAAGGATCCTGAAAGATTCTGACCCCAACCTGAAGAATCCTGAAAGGTCCTGAAGGATCCTGACTCCAACCTGAAGGATCTTGAAGGACGCTGACCCAATCCTGAAGGATCCTGAAGGATCCTGACTCCAACCTGAAGAATCCTGAAGGATCCTGAAGGATCCTGACTCAATCTTGAAGGATCCTGAATCCAACCTGAAAGACCTTGAACCCAACCTGAAGGATCCTGAAGGTTCCTGAGCCCAACCTGAAGGATCCTGACTCAATCTTGAAGGATCCTGGTCCTGTCTGCTGGAGCATCCAGGACTCTGGTGTCCTCAGCCAATCAGGGAAGCTGTTACTGCAGAGTGGAACCAGCAGCTCCAGCGGGCCGATTGTTTTCTGCAGAACTCAAACTAAATCACATTTCTGACAGCCTTCACTGTTTTATAAACCGGTCTTAGACCGGATGAGAACCTGGATCAGTTCTTCCATCACCTCCTCAGATCTTCACGTGATGTGGATTAAATCAAGACTTTTAGTTCCAGTCCAGGATTTGCCTCCAGAAACATTTTGTCTGGATTCTTCCAGGTTCTGGTTCAGACCAGAGCTCAATAATTTAAAGAGAACCACGTGTTCCTCATCAGAACTCCTGAGTCAAAACAGCAGGAAGTATAATTGATTTAGTCTGGTCCAGATCTGTTTGGACAGAGACATTTTCCTGGTTCTGGTTCTGTACATTAACACAGTCATTTAAGAACAAAACATGTCAGCAGAAGTATTTGAACAAATGAAAAAGTTGTAAATAAAATGTTTATTTCTAATACTTGTTGAAAAGTCTTTGTCAATAAGTCCTGATCTCTGTTTCTTTAACAGGACTTTACTGCAGCAGGTTACTGTTTGTTTCTGTCTCAAGTTCAGTCTAACAAGTTAAATGGGTTGAGATCAGGTGACACCCTTATTTTGTAGTCACATGACCAATTTAGTGGGAAAGATTTGCTCTTTGTAAGAAATTGTTCCAAATCGCGTGAAAATGACAGATTTCAGGTTGTACGTCATATTTTAAATTGTGTTGATAAATAAATTACAGAACTTTGTTTTTAATGTTCGTCATATTTGAAGCGGAGAGGAGCACCGAGCGGACTGACCGGAGTAATAACCGGTCAATCTGCCTGGTGGCATTAATCGTATTAATCATTAAGTGCCCAAAAGTAATCGATTAATGTTTTTCTGACGATTAATTGCACACGATAHGATTATGCCTAACCCTATTGTAGAGTGATGTTTAATCTATTCACGCACTTGTTTTAGTGAAGATTAAGTGCAATGAATTTATTCATTCATCCCTAAGAAATGTGAAATGCTGCTAAGTTGCA